GTTCTTTAGGATAGGACACCTTTGAATGATCTTTATAACATGCCATTTACCTATGCTCTTACTTCTCTGGATTTTAGTATGTGTTTCTTGCTTGATATTGTTTGCATTGGTCGTAGTTACATCTTATCTAGGTCATTATCCCTCATTATTTCTGGACAATATTTGATAACCATTCCTTTGTACATAGTCTTGTATTAGTTTAGAACCTTCTTATTTAGACAAAAAGGGGGAGATGTAGTGGGTAGCCATTCCAGCTTGGATCTGGAAGTTCCAACCCCCATTGAGACTCTGGCAACTGTCACGCCTATGAGGCGGGGCGAGGGGAGGCGCCTGGGGACCCGAGAGCTGGATGGGCCAGCGTGCTCTCTGTGCCGGGACGCTGAACGGTGAAGGTGGATTGTGCAGAGCTCCGGAGAACACCGCTGGACTGCATTATACCTTCCCCAGACCCTGCGACCTACCCATTACTTAATTTGTGAGTTACGCCATTAAATAAATATCCTTTTAACTACGTGGAGTGGCCAAAATAATTTCTCCAATACTTGTGCAAAGAATTTGAGTTTGCTGTTGAGTGGAACTTTCTATGGGTGTCTGTTAGGTCATTTTGGTTGACGGTGTTCCATTTTGGAATGTATCTGTGAGGTCATCTATTGAGAAGACTGGCATTGTAGCAGGGAGCTGAGTAGAAAAGACCCACCCTCAGTCAGTGTGGGAGAGCACACCGCCTGACCAGCTGAGGAACCGGACAGAAACAAAGGTGTCTCCCTTTCTCTCTGTGTCTTCCGGAGCCCTGGCCTTTAGACTCTGGGACTTGCACTAGGAGCCCCTCTGATTTCCTTGTACTTAGCCTGGAGCTGGGCATTGTGACATCAGCTCCCACAGTTCTGGGGCCTTTGGGCTTTGAATTGCTTCTCTTTGCCCGGCATCTCCAATTTATAACTGGCTGGTTAATTGAGAGACTTCTCAGCCTCTCCAACCTCCTGGCCCACCTCCCCTGATAAAGCCCCACTGAATTCTCACCTTAGTCAATTTAGTGGCCATATAATATCTGGACAGAGGTGTTCTTAAGGTTCTGGACAGATGGACCAGTTTGCTGGCTGCCCTCTGTGAACTGGGGCATGGGAGGAGCGCTGGGCTTTTTTCTAAGTATGCACACTACTCTGTTGGCACCCGGGGCTTTTCTTCCTTGTGCTCGGAGATTTCTATATTCCCCAGACTACGCCAGAGTTTTCAGGGTTCTGTGGCCATCCCCACTAGCCTTTACATTAAGCTTAGGCTTAGTTTATTATTGTGCCTGTTATCCTCCACTTCCATCATCTATAAAGCTCAACAATTCCCTCTGAGTCTTTTTAACAAATGCCCTACAGGAAACAGCTTTTAGCCCTGAGGGCATTTTAAATTAGATTAAATACAGGCTTCTAGGTGGGGCTTTCAGAAAGCCAACAGGCTGGGCTTCTCTTGGGGGCTTTTGACTTCTCCAGGCTCAGACAGAACTAGAAAAAGAGTGACGGCAACAAGGTGAGATGCGTGCTATTTTTAGTGAGATTCTGTCATTCCGTCAAGTAAACCATCGCTGGATGGATGGAAGCCTTTGACCAATGTCCAGAGTTCCGGAAAGGTCGGATCTGGTTGTCGTAGTTATTTTCTCATCATTTTTGTAGAAGAAAGGGTTTTCATGATTTTTCCCCAACCATTTTTGCAGATGCCACCAGATTGCCTCCTCTTTCCCTACATGACATAAACAAAACTACATATCAAAGCAGGCTCAACCAGCCGGTCCATTGAAGGAGGTGAGTTTACGTCATCATTCAAATGCCACTGCCTTTCTTGACTGCCTTCCTTGGCCCCTCTCACACTGTGTCTGCAGTGATGTATCTGTGCCCTCCTACACTCACCCCTGGAAGGCCACCAAACCTACAAGCTGTTAGTTGTCCAACCCCCACAGCTGGTTAAATGCTCTGAGGATCTAATGTGGGAGAATTCAGCAGACAATCAACAAGTTTACGGACAGCCCTCATTAGAGGGACTGGCTCCTGGCGCTGAGAAGGCTCAGACTTTTCTGACGACTGTCTGTGGTGTTGATGCCTCAGGGATGAGGATGAGATACAGTGCTGCACTGTGCACCGAGGAGGACTTTGGGGTCCACCTTTAACTCCCAGCTCACATGTCACAATTATTTTGCTACTTTGATGCACACGTGCTTTGCCTATCTATAAAGCATCGCTCCAGGGTAGCCCCAGGGCCCATCCCTTGCTTTCCTATTGAAGGTCTCCTTTCCAGTCCCTGCCACGAGTACCTTCTTTGAGAAAAATCTAGCCTGCCAGAAGACTGGCATTGATAAATTATTAACTGATTCTGCCGCACATCAATTTTAACCTATTCCTGTGGACTCTAACACCTGTTTGCATTTTTACTGAACTAAATCAAAGCTGGAGAGATGACCAAGGTAACCAGGACTCCCATTTCCCATTGGTGTTATCTTTTTGTTTTGTTTTATTTGGGTGTGTGTGCAAGCGTGAGCATGTTTGTGTACACATGCATGTGTGTGTGTACATGTGTGTATTGCATTTGTTTCATTTTGTATTTTGGAACTTCTGTAACCCAGAGTACCTTAAACTTGTTACAAAGGACAAACTGGCCAAAAACTGTCCAGCTTCTGTGTCTTAGCATCCTAAATGCTAGGCTATCAGGTATGCACTGCCGTGCCCAGTCATACTGGCATTTTTAAATATAGCATTTCAAACTCATGCCGAAGGAACCCAGCTTTAGCATTTGTCCCCAGATGACCCATCTTCTTTCTCACTCTGGTGTGGATGTCACACCCATCTTCATCCCACACTGCATTATCTTGAAACATATTTCAGTTCTTGGGTAGTTTCATTTGTAAACATGCGGCAGATGCCTGCAGAAGACACAGGCCTGTTTTCTGGGAGCTCAGTTGATGACTAGTTGGAATATAAGAAGTTATACAGAACTGAAGTCTATGCCTGAGAAGTTTGACTTCTTTATTACTCTCAAAATAACATCACAATGTAAAACATAAACACAAGGTTGGGTGTGGGGCGCACACCTTTAATCTCAGTTCGCAGAGGCAGAGGCAGGTGGGTCCCTGTGAGTTCGAGTCCAGCCTGGGCTACATAGTGAGTTCCACGACAGCCAAAGCTACATAGTGAGACCCTGTCTCAAAAAAAAAAAAAAAAAAAATGAAGTAAAATAAAAAACACAGCCATCATCCCAGGTTTTCTTGTGCCCCTTTGTGGTTGCCACGGGCTGCTTTATTTGCTAACAACACTTTGTAGAATTTTCTGTAACTAAAGACAGAGCACATGTACTCCATTTTAACTCATTGTAATTATCTTTGAGGTTTAGTCACGCTGCCATGCTTTTCCATAATGGCTTCTGTGTGACCAAGTGGCAATTTGCTAATCCATTGGCTGGCTGGGGCGCATTTGGGTGGTTTTCAGTTCTTGACAATACAGACAAAGTAGCTGTGGACGCTTGAGTACAATTCTGTGTAAATATGTGACTTCATTTCTTTGACAGGGTGGAAATTAGCAAGAGGAGAATGACAAAGTCACTTGCTGGACACCTTTTAAGCTTTTAAAAAATTACATGTATGTATTTAGTGTGTGTAGATGGCGCCATGACGTGCATTTGGAGGTGAGAGGATGTCTTCTGGGTGTTGTCTGTCCTTTCACTACGTGGGTCCTAGAGAGGGATCTCAGGTGGACAGGCTTGGCAGCGGGCACATTCACCTACTGAGCCATCTCACTGGCCTTCCTTTTAACTTTTAAAAACTGAAAAAAAAATGCTCTTTAAAGTGCTCATTCCAACTTCCAACCCTGGTAGCTGGGAATGGGAGTTGCTGCTGCTCCAGGTTTCTGCAGAGTCCCTGTAAGTCTCCTATGTGGCATCCATTGTGGTGGAGCCGACCTTGCTTGTGGTTGTCATAGCAACTGCCTAGTGACTAACAGTGCTGGGGCCCCTTCCATATTCCTGTTACCCAGCTCCAGTCACTCTCTGGTGAAACGTCCCTTCAGATCTTTTGTCAGTCTCAAGAAGATCATGTGTTTTGTTTTCTTTAAATTACTTCTGGCTACCAGCCCTTGGTTATAGATGATGCTTTGCAAATATTTTCTCTCACTTCTGTGGCTTTCTCTTCTATTCTCCTAGGCATCTTTTGAAGAGTGAAAGTTTTTCTGTTATAATGAAGCCCAGTCCAGGGGCTTTTTCTTGTGTGCACGTGTGTTTGTGTGTGCAGGTTCATGTGTGGGTAGGTGCATGTGTTTGTGCTGGTGCATGTGTGTGCTCACGCATGTAGAGTTCAGAGGACAATCTTTAGTGTTGTTCCTCAGACATGATTTACCTTGGCTTTGGAGAGAGTATGTCTTTCTTGGGACCTGAGGCTTACTGATGAGCATAGGCTGGCTAGCCAGGGAGTCCCAGGCATCCACCTGTCTCGGCCTTCTTAGTCCTGGGTCATGAGCACAAGCCACCATGCGTGGCTTTCATTTAAAGCCCGAGTGCCAGGAGTTGAACTCACCTTCTCATGCTCACACAGCAAACACGTTACCGACGGAGCCATCCCACCCCCCACCAAGAGGTTTTCTTTAATGATTTATGCTTTATCTATAAAAAATTTATCTATTAAAAAATTAGCAGTCCAGTGCCAAATTCAAGGTCACTCAAATTTTTCTCTTATGTTTTCTTCTAGGAGTTTCAGGTTTGGGCTCTTTTATACCCATGGTGTGTTTTGAATTAATGTATCTCCATGGTGTGAAAAAGGATTGAGGGGTTGTCCTTTTGTTGGATGGAGCGTCCCAGCTCTCTCCAGCACCAGCTGTTGAAGACTGTACTTTCTACACTGGGTTTTCTTGAAACCTTTGTCAAAAGGAAATTGACCATGTGAATGTAGGACTGTCAATTCCCATTCTTTCATTGATCTGTAGATCTATTTTGGCTTCAATATCATCTGATAATTAAAGGGGAAATTAGAACTTTTTAATTAGCTTTAGATAAGAAATGCAGGCCTTAAAATGTTCCCAACCTGCCTCAAAATCTCTCTCCCTCATCCTGGGGCACCTTGCTCCCATTTAGACAGAGGAAGGGGTGGGAAGCCGTCTCTCGCCTTGATGAGGATGAGAAGACATTATTTGAAGCCGACTCAAGGAAGGAGTCAGAAAGGGCAGCTTGAGCCACCCAGCAGCAAGCCAGTGATGCTAATTCTTTGGAGAGACCTAGAGATACTAAAAGGGACAGTGAGATGCACAGAAGAGTTCAAGTCTTTGAATGCTCACAATGACTAAGCTTGGGGTAGACAGTGGCTTACGTAACCCAAGTCAGTTAAGGTTGTTGGCCTTAAAACATGGAAGTCCTGAGTGCTTCCCTCCCATCCCCCTCTCTCCACTGAAAACAAAATCCTGTATCCTGGTATGGGGGTGTAGGAGAAGGGCACATGTTAAAATTGTGCCGAGGACAAAACTTGAAACGTTTCTTACAGAGTTCAACTGAGAGGCCATTTCTGGCTTATGAGGCTGGTAGCCAGTGGTGAATATAAAAGAGAGGCTTCAGAAAGCTCCCCTGGGGACCAAAGTCATGCAGCAGGTGAGGAAAGACACCCAGGAGGTGTCAGAGAAGGGTCGGGTCTACAAGGCCTGGATCACAAAGACCATGATGTGCTCAATGGAGGCCAGCCTCGATGTCCAGTTGGAAAATGTCCTCAGAGGGAGGCGTTGCAGCGAAGACACTGGAGCAGTGAGGATGTGATCTGTTTGCCTTCCGTGTTCTCTAGAGCAGCGGTTCTCAACTTCCGGCTGCCGAGACCCTTTAATATAGTTCCTCATGCTGCTCAGGCTGTAGTGACCCCCAACCATAAAGTTATTTCATTGCCACTTTGTAAGTGTAGTTTTGCTGCTGTTATGAATCCTAATGTAAATATCTAATATGCAGGATATTTGATATGTGACCCCTGTGGGGGGTCATGACCCACAGGTTGAGAATTGCTGCTCTAGAGGAGCAGAACCAATAGAACACACATAACACACACACACACACACACACACACACACACACACACACACACACACACACCCTGAGGTGGGGGGCATTGATCAGACTGGCTCACACAATTAGGTCTGGGTAGTCCATCTGCAGGCTAGAATCCCAATAGCTGCGCTGTCTGTGAGGCCAGGTTCCTCAGCAGTCCCAGCCTGGTGCTGAAGGCCTAGAGGATTCCTGGAGGGTCTAGTGGGTCCAAAGAACCTGGACCCTGGTGGCCTGTCGTCAGTGATGGGTGGAGCTGCAGGGGAGATGCATTCGCCAGCAGAGAACTAAGGCAAGCGGCCAGAAACAGCTTTGCGTTCAGACCTCTGGCCAGCTGCTGGGAGGAAGGGGCTGTCCACTGTGAGGAGGTCTTGCCTCTTCTGTTAATCCTTCCAGGAAATATCCCTGCAAACCCACCAAGCCGCATGTCTCTTAGTTGACCCCAGATCCAATCAAGTTGACAACCAAGATCAGCCCACAAAGCCCAGGTCACTGAAGACCTCATTAGTATATGGGGTGGAAAAACACTGGACTGGAGGGCCCCCAATCAATCACTTCTGTGAGCCCAGAGCACCCTGTCAAGCTGGAGCCATGTCTCAGCTGTGACTGAACCATGTCAGCGGGAGAAGGCAGCCATGCGACCCTGTAACACTTGGGCACTGTGCCCAATTTCCTGTTTCTTCCCCTGAAACAACCGACTTTTCATAATTTAAGGAGGTTAATTTTTTTCTTTCATCTTCTATTTTATCTCAGACCACCCATGATAAAAAAAAAAATCCATGTGAAACAGTGGAGAGTTGAGATTTCCTTAATTTCAGCAAAATTTGCAAAAGAAAAAGTAAATTCCCTAAAACTGTTTACCAAACTCACCTGGCAAGATCCAGCAGGCTTTGGCCAGTGCTTGGTGGCTTTGGGGACCAGCTTGCACTTCATGAGTTGCCCTCTGCACAGATGATGGCAGGCAGTGTGCTCAGGACCTGTGACTGTCTCCTTTGGAAGAGCCACAAAATAGCCAGCTGATGAAAGGCTCGAAAACCCATGAAGAGACATTCAACATCATTGGCCATCAGGGAGACGCACGCGAAAGACACCGTGAGGTCCCACTGCACACAAACGCTGGTGTGGCTATAATAATAATTTTTTTAAAAGGTGGAGAATAATAAGAGTTGACAAAAATGTAGAGAAATTGTAACCTTTGCACATTAGTAGGAATGTAAAATAATACAGTTGACTTGCATAGAAATCTAATGGCTCCTTGAGGACCTGAATTATAGAGTTATCACATGAGCCTGCCATCCTACTCCCAAGGGAACTGAAAATATGCACACTACTGGAACCTGTTGATGCATACTTACGACAGCATTCTTCATAAAGCCAAAAAGTGGAAGCAAACCAAATGTCCCTTACAACATGTTTGTAATATGAGGAAGAGGTCCAGATCAAATGGCCACAAGGTACACGATCCCACCCACGGTTGGGCACATTGCTTTCTGTATTATTTGTTCATAGCTTCACTTGTCTATGGATTGTCTTCTTGGTGCATGTTAGGATCCTGCCCTTACTCCTGCACATGCACAGCTCGGGGTCTTGCATCTTACGTCATCGGGGACGCTGGCGATTATATACACGCAGCGTGGTCACACAATCTGAGCCTTAAAAGTCAGATGCAGACCCCACGCTCTCTCCTCTCCGCTCTCTGCTCCCTGCTCTGCTCTGCTCCCCTCTTCCCCCACCCCACCATCTTTCTCTCTCACCAGGCCTGGTCCCCTCCCCCACTGCTTTTCCTCCTAACAAAGCTCTGAGCACTGATACTGGGTTCTGTCATCACGCGACCTTTCTGCTAGGTAACCAGTGCCGCCACCAGTGCCGATTATCATCCTTTCAGTGGATTCATAGACATTTTGGAGAGGGAAAGTGATTTTTGTTTCATTGAATCCCTGCTCCTCACCATCCACTGGACCATAAGATAGCATACACATTAGATAGTCCATAAATATCCAGTCGGGATTTTGTATCTCAAATGAGTTAAACCATTCAGAAAGGTAAAATAATAGTAACAGCCCACAAAAGAAGGTGTCAGTGTGGTCCTTGCTCACTTCACGGTGGCTAGGGGACAAAGAGAAGAACACTGAAGGAGCAAGGCCAGGGCAGTCTTCCCGGAACATACTGACCGTGATGTACTTCCTGAACTCCACCACGTCTGCATGTCCACCACCTCCCAATAACAATGCTTGGGTCGTGGATCTCTCCGTGGGTTACGGCATGGATTGCATCAGAACTTGTGTGAAGCAATGACTCTCAGTGATAGGATCCGCTAGCAGGGGACCATTGCTTCAAACAGGAGCCTTTGGATATGTCCTTCACTTCCAAACCATAATATTTCTGGTCCAGCTTCTGATCCCAGACCAAGTGCTGCCTATTGGAGGCATCTTTCCTAACGACTAAGTACTAAAGTCATAACCAAGATGTGGTTGGTTTTTTGGTTTTTGTTGTTGTTGTTGTTGTTTGTTTGTTTGTTTGTTTGTTTTGTTTGCCATCTGAACTTCTGAATACCTTAAAGGAGGGATGAGCCAGCTCTAAGCCCCACTCCCTGGCTACAGAAAAGTAGGTGGGATTTCTACTCAGGCATTTGAAAAGGTTGCCTTCCCTTCGAGTACCATTGGAAGACTTCCACTCAGGAGCTCTCTTGGGACAAATCAAGTCTCACTGTGGTAAAGGTAGGTGCTTGAGCCTTTCAGAGCCCGGGCAGGACAAGACACAGACGACCAAGGAATGCATTCCCTCTCTCCACTCAGCGTCCACTCCCGGTCAAATCAGACAGGCACAGAACGGGTGCCACTGCTTAAATAAACTTTTCTTTAAAAAAAAATAAATAAATAAAAGGCTGCCTAAGTGCTAATAAGAGCTGGTGGCATGGCTTCCAGGTACTAGTCTTTTTCTCTGAAGAAAGAAATTGGGCGTGGAGCCACAAAGAAAGACAACTGGCCCTTGGGAAGGCGGCCCTGGAGTAGGTAGGGAGAGCTCAGGGGCAGCTCTCCCAGGACAGCACCCAGCGGAGAAAGGTGCCCGGAGGCAGCACAGGCACTGAGCACAGGGGTCTCGGAGAGGGCAGCAGGAAGTCCGCAGGAGGAGAAGGTGGCCTGGGGTAAAGTTACCATCCTCCACTGCTCCCTGGAAACCTGTCTTTCTGGCTTCCCTAGGGTCAGAGGGCAAGCTTCCCAGCAGGCTGTAGACTTTCAAGACTTGGCTTCTTTCCTTCTCTCTCCCCAGGGAAGGGCAGGGCAGGAAGTCTGAGAGACAACTGAGCTCCTGGGTCACTCAGAGAGTCCCCTTTCTCTGCCTGAAATGAACCTGCCGGGAGGGAATGAAAACCACTGCCTCATGCTCACATTCTTCCGGGGCTGAGGGTGCTGCTCAGGGCAAGCCCAGGGATTTTCATTGGCTCTCACACTTGTAGCTACCAAATTTACATGTAATTAAAGACCCTGGTGCAGACCAAGTTTCCAAACGTTGGAATTGCCTAATTAGATGCAGGAGGCCTCCTCCTGAGATGGTCTGAGTAGAGCAGGCTGGTATGAGGGAGGGCTTGCTCAGGGCAAAGCCTTCTGTGTAGCCAAGAGGCTGGGCATGGACGTTCCAGGGCAGAGACTGGGCAGAGTCATGCT